GCAGCCAGGGATGGGGCCCGGGATTCTGCGACTGCCCTGGATGCTGGGGATGGTGTGCACTTGACAGTCTGGGCAGGAGCTCTGGTCTTTTTTTTTTTTTACCATTGACTAATGAGCTGCCCCCCTGCTGCCAATGTCCTTCCCAGATCCCCTTTACTGACAGCTGCCCACCCTCGCCCCACCTACTGTGAGTACTTGCTGCTGAGGAAACACACCTGCCCTCACAACAGGAGATGCCTGAGAGGTTGCACCCTATCCTCTTGCTCTCACCTCCTGGGGTTGCCAGACAGAATACAGGATGCCTAGCTAAATTTAATTTCAGACAACGAATACTCTCTTAGCAGAAGGATATGCCATTCGTTGTTTATCTGAAATTCAAATTTAAGTGGGCAACTGTACCTTTATTTGCTAAATCTGGCAACCCTACAGTTGGCAGTCAATGACTGGGGAGGAGTATGATGAAGGCTTGGCCGCCTTACGTCCAAGGCTGGAAGCTTGCTGGTATCGTTTATGCTCCAGGGTTCCGTGTGGGATCAGCCTGAGGCCGGGTGTCAGTTGAACCCCCAACTTTGCTTAGCTTCTTTCTCTGCCTATCCTGCTTTCCTCCTCCTCCATGAGAGCTGTCCCCAATAAATTACTTCCACAAGGATCTCTGTCTCATGCTTGGCCTCTGGGGACTCAAAAAACATGCCTGCTTTTTCAGTTTCCTGCTTGGAGATGATGCTCTGGGTTGCCTCCAAGAGCAACTTCCAGCCTCGTCATCCCATGGGGTCTGGGGCTTCTTTCCACCTTAGACAAATGACTTATCCTCTCTCAACTCTTTTTTTTTTTTCATCTGTGAAAGGCAATAATGTGACATTGCAGGGTAAATGGGACAATGTGAGCAACCTATCTGGCAATTGGCAAGTCTCCCTAAATGGAAACAACAGCTGTCATTCCATAGCTTTGAGCTTCTGGTCATTTTCACTCCCTTTGTCCTACCTTCTCAATCTGCTGACGTGAGTGCATAGGATTCCCGTGAGTCTGATGGAGATTTGTGGCTGTAATCCTCCTGGGGCCTCTCTCTTGCCTGTTCTTTCTGAAGTTGTAAAAGCACCTTGGTTTTAGCAAAAGCCCTTTGGCACCAGTTCACAAGGCAGGGAGGGGGAAAGCTGAGCACAGCAGGGGGAGGAAGCATGGGCTCAGCTCTTTTCTGGGCTGCCATTTCTTCCAGGAACATTAAAATACTCTCAGGTCTGCCCCCAACAACTTCACTCAGAAGTGTGAGAAACACAGCGTCGGGAATGGACATCTTGAGCCAAATGACTCCACCAGTGCAATCCCGGGCAACTTTTAAAAAGACAGAGGCAGGCTCGTGTGTTATGATTTGCAGTGATGTTAAGATATATTGTGAAGAAGGGGCAGACACCCGGGTGGCTCAGTGGTTGAGCGACTGCCTTTGGCTCAGGTCCTGACTTAGGGTCCCAGGATTGAGTCCTGCATCAGGCTCCCCGCAGGGAGCCTGCTTCTCCTTCTGCCTGTGTCTCTGCCTCTCTCATGAATAAATGAATAAAATCTTTGGGGGGGAAAGAATAAGCGAAAGCATCCCCTACCTTATCTCTGGAAGGACAACTTAACAAAGTTGAATCAGTGGGTGCCCCTGGGGAGAAAGGCTGCCTGGGTGAGGGGTGGGAGGGAGACTTACTTTTCATTGCTTGTCCGTTTATACTATTTGAAATGTATGCCATATGCCAACAGTCTCCATTAAGAAAATAAATACAAAATTTTTGAAGATTTTATTTATTTATTCATGAGAGACACACAGAGAGAGAGAGAGAGAGAGAGGCAGAGACACAGGCAGAGGGAGAAGCAGGCTCCATGCAGGGAGCCTGACATGGGACTCGATTCCAGGACCCCAGGATCAAGCCCTGGGCCAAAGGCAGGCGCTAAACCGCTGAGCCACCCAGGAATCCCCAGAAAATAAATACAATTTAACCGGAAAACAAAAGAAGAGCAGCTCATGTCTTTATCACTCAAAGCTCTCTCTTTTATTCTAAACTCCAAATTAATGAGGCAGCACTGAGAAAATTCAGGCAGCTTGGAAGGCACTTCATTTTCAGGGTTTGGTGCAGCAAAGCGAAAAATTATCCAAGTTCTTTGAAGTCTAAAATACATGAGCCGCTCTGGTTTTACTGGGCTGCAGGATGGGTTTGCCAGGTGGCTGGTTTTGGGGGACCCTCTCCCATCTCAGAGTGTTTCCTGAGCCAGAGACTTTACACCAACTATTTTGCCCTCACAACACTGAGGTAGGTCCTACTAATTTCTCATGTGACAGATGAGGAGGATGTATCTGAAGTGAGCTTTGGCAGTTTCTAGTATATGTGCTGCCGAAGCGAGCACAGTTTTGGCAGTTTCTAAAACCCAACCTCTTTTTTTTTTTTTAACCCAACCTCTTTTAAGAAAAAAAAATGCCACTGTCTGTGGGGTCTGTGCTGATTTCCCCTTCCTCTCCCCCAATCTGGAACAAGTCCTGTCTCCCCCGAGGAGGGAAGGAAGGGAAGCAGAGTCGCAGGACCGCACAACACGACTATAGCCAAGGACTCTTCAGGAAAGTGGAATTTTGAGAAAAGACCCAAGAGAGAAGGTCCCAGCTGACTCGGGCTCATGCTTACCTGCTCGGGGCAGCGCTCTGCCCCCAACCCAGGCCCAGTCAGCACGTGCATCTATGAACTGCTGCATTCCCTAGACACGTGGTGAGTGCCAGGCACTGGAATACAATGGTGAGCCAACAGACAGGGCTCCATCCTCATGGGGCTTCCACGCACTTTTGGCAGCTCCAGCTCCTCTCCCGCACACACCCCTGACTCATGCCACGCAACAGTATGGTGCGGTATGGGGAGCACCATCTAGAGTCAGACTGCCTGCTCCACCACTGACAACTGGGACCTTGGGCAAGTAACAGCTTCTTGTGCCTCAGTCTCCACCTCTGTAAAATGGGCATGATCGTAGTAATAGCCACCTTGGGATTGTGCAGGGTTGCATGAGACGACATATGAAAAGCTTTTTTTTTTTTTTCATAGTGCCTGGCCCAAAGAAAGTACTTGATCAGTATTAGCTGTGTTGTGCCCAAGATTGCGAATCCAAGAAACCACCAAGGAGCCAACACCGATGCAAGTACATGAGGGTTTATTAGCAAGCTCGAGCTTGGGTCCAAGCGTACCTGACACAGCAGAGCAGAGACTTGGACCCCGAGGGGGGTTCCAGCTGGGTTTTTATGGGCTGGTCTAGGGGATTTCCAGAAGGGGTGGAGGAATTTCTCAAGCTTTGTTTTCATTCTGATATGGGACTTTCTGTCAAGGGTGTTCTGCGTTTTTTTCCTGTAAAGTTCAGCTCTTATTCACAGGGGCCTGAGATGGCCGTACTTGTGCTAACGCTAAACTTGAGGTGGAATGGCCTTGATTTTCTCGGCCTCTATAGCTGCTCTTATCATCATCATCATCATCATCATCATTCTATGCAAATACTATCTTTCACGAATACAGGGCCCCGTCTTCTTGTTCTCCACTGAGCTCCCAGTACCTAGCACATAATAGGGGCTCAGCATGAATAAATGCATGAAGGAAACCTGGCTTACATTTGATTATATTGACCATCTGGATCTTATGTCAAGCCAGACAGATGACCTGCTTTGTGCTGGGAGCCACAAGGGACATTAAGAGTGGCTGCGGTCCTTGGGACGCTTGACAGAAGATGCTCAGCAGAAGAGATGCTACATATAAAGCTGAATGAACGGATGGATGGATGGATGGATGGATGGATGGATGGGCCATGAAGCGAGCTCCAGGAGTCCCCACCCCCGCGCTCACATTTGCTCATGGAGCTATCCCTGGAGTGGACACCAGGGGGCACTGAGCTCGGCCAGTCTCAGCTCCCGATGGGGATTCACGCCCACGTTCTTAGGAGGACGCCGCGCGGTGACGTCATATCCGCGCCTACCCGTCACGCTTCCGGGAGGGGAGGCCCCCCCCACCCAAAAAAAACAACAGACAGGAGCCGAACATAAATATCCCCGGAGTTTCTTGGGTCTGCGGTCTGGCGTCTGCGGAGTTGCTCCAAGCTTTGGCGGATCGTTGCAGCGAGTAGAAGTCAGGAGGCGCCAGGTCAGTCCGACCGACAAGTGGGGACGCGGAAGCCCATAGCAGGGCGGCTTTTGGTCGGGCGTGAGCTCAGTCGGCCACGCCGGTGACGCGCGGCCGTGCGCGCCAGGTGCGCATGCGCAAGGTGAGCCTGACGGCGGGCGGCGCGCGGCCAGCGGAGGCACCTGTCCGCCGCCCAGGACGCCGCGCGCGGGTCGCTGGCGGGGTCGTGTCCGCGGGCACCTGCCCCACGGGGTCTCGGCAGCAGGAGGTGGCTGCGACGGGTGTGCAGAGCGCATGCGCCCGGCGCCAGGTGGGCGCTACATGAATGGCGAGCGTTAGCCGACACAGGTTGAAAACCACTGAAGAGCCCAACAGTAGGGGACTGAGCTTTTTTTTTTTTTTTTAATGATGAATTTGGCCCCAAACTTTTATATAATATTGAGTGTGTACCGTGCGGTGCGCTTGTAGGTTCCTGGGAAGCCGTAGTGAGCGAGACGGATCCGCGTGTGCTGCAGGAGTGGACGGGCGGGGGCGGGGGCGGGGGCGGGGTACGGACCGGGAGTGAGGGAGCCGCGGGGTTGTGTCACAGGGTGGTAGGTGCTGGGGGGAAGGGCTAGAACCGGGCACGAGGGCCGCCCGACCGCGCCGCGGGGAGGAGGCGGGGGGCCCTGCGTCCCCCCGCCCCGCCCCCCAAGAGTGATCCCAGCAGCGGAGAGGCCGGGCCGGGAGCAGCGCGGAGGCGGGAGGGGGCGCTCAGCTGTGCGGAGAGCCCTGCAGGGCCCGAGGGCCTCGGGGTTTACTCTGAGTTAGAAGGACCGTTGCAAAGTCTTTATTAATTAATTAATTAATTAATTTATTTATTTATTTATTTATATTCATGAGAGAGAGGCAGAGACACAGGCAGAGGCAGAAGCAGGCTCCGTGCAGGGAGCCCGACGTGGGACTCGATCCCGGGACTCCAGGATCACGCCCTGGGCTGCAGGCAGATGCTCAACCGCTGAGCCCCCCGGGCTGCCCCCATTGCAAGGTTTTTGAGCAGAGGAACGGCCCGGGCTTGACTAGGTTGTAACTGGTTCCCTCGACTGTAGCGGCTGTAGCGACTAGATGGGGGCGGAGGGAGGCTGGTGGGAGGAGGCGGAAGCAGGGGCTCTGCACTACCAATGGGTCACTTAACGGGCATCCCCGCAGCCGTTACGGGGACGGTGACCCGAGCTGTGGCAGTGCTTTCGCGGCTGTGAGCCTTGGCAGATTTGCCGGGCTGTGCGCAGAGCCCTCAGCGGTCCTCTAACCCCAGGACGGCCTGCAGGGAGCGATACTGTCTCTGCGTCTGGGCCTCCGGCGGACCTGGAGGTGACTGCTCGGTAAACACGTGTTCCTTAAGTCTTTTATTTTATTTATTTATTTATTTTTTGTGAAGTATGCATTAAGGAAAGATTTACCGTTTTAGGGACGCCTGGGTTGCTCAGTGATTGAGCGTCTGCCTTTGGCTCAGATGGTGACCCCAGGGTCCTGGGATACAGTCCTGCATCAGGCTCCTCGCAGGGAGCCTGCTTCTCCCTCTGCCAGTGTCTCTGTCTCTGTGTCACGAATAGATAAATAAAATCTTTTTTTTTACATTTATTTATTCATGATAGACACACACACAGAGAGAGGCAGAGACACAGGCAGAGGAGAAGCAGGCTCCACGCCAGGAGCCGGCCACCAGAATCGTTCCCGGGACTCCAGGATCAGGTCCTGGGCCAAAGGCAAGTGCTACACCACTGAGCCACCTAGGGATCCCTAAATAAAATATTTTTAAAAAAGACTTTTTTTTTTTTAAGTGTACAGTCCTTTGGCATTAAGTACCTTAACGCTGCTGGGGAACCATTGTGACCATCCATTTCCAGGATACACCACAAGTCTTGATTGTTACTGGCATCCTGAGCCCCAGGCCCAATCTCAGTCTCTTACCTCAGGCAGCCAACTCCACCAAGGCTGACTGTAAATCTTAAAAAAAAAAAAAACACCTATCCTGTGCCAGACAATGGATGAAGTGATGGAGCGTCCTGTTCTCCCCACCCTTCTAGTCAGGAAGGGCTCTAATGATTGGAAAAGAATCATCAGGTGCTTATTTCTGCAGTCTTGAGACCAAAGATACCCTTGAACATATAGGCTTAGTACTTCTCACCATTCAGTAGGTGTTACTGGATGCCTACTCTCTGCCAGACACAGTAACTGTTCGTGGTGGGTTTTTTTGTTTGTTTTTGTTTGTTTGTTTGTTTTTTTACTGTTCATGTTTTTAAGTGGATGCTTGGATGTAGCTCCTTGACCCTGACTTTTTTTTTTTTTTAGATATTTTTTATCCATGTCGCTATGAGCGACATAGAGAGAGGTGCAGGCTCCATGCAGGGAGCCTGACGTGGGACTTGATCCTGGGACTCAAGGATCATGCCCTGGGCCGACGGCGACGGCGCTAAACCACTGGGCCACCAGGGCTGCCCGACTCTGACTTTTCATTTTCTCTGAGGATATCATCTAGGAGTGGTTGGAACTGGGCCTGATGCAGAGGTTTTGTAAATGCTGGTTTACAACTCTGACCTTGGCTAGGTCCCTTTCCCTGGTTGGACCTCAATTTCCTGGTTGCTTTAGTGAGCAACCAGATATAGAACAAATAGACAATATTAAGAGATTGCATAACAAGGGAATCTAACTTAGAACAAGGAGTCAGAAAGAAGGCTTTCTTGAGCAGGTGAAATTCTTAGAAGAGGTGCACTATAAGCTAAAATTCAAAGGATGAGTAGGGGCTCTCCAGAGAGAGAGTGAGGTAGTAGTGGAGCCAATGACGGGGATTCTCCACAGGGGGATCAGCATATTCTGAATTCTTGAAAGATCTAGCTCTACTAGAAATGACATTGAAGGCACCTGGGTGGCTCAGTCCATTAAGTGTCCACCTTGTGCTCAGGTCGTGATCCTAGGGTCCTGGGATTGAGCCCCACATCAGGCTCCCTGCTCCGTGGAGGAGCCTGCTTCTCCCTCTCCCTCTGCCACTGCTTGTGTTCTCTGTCTCTCATGAATAAATAAGATCTGGGAAAGAAAAAAAAAAAAGGAAATGGCAATGAGCACCCATTCTAGGAATTCCTCTTCTCAAACCCCTTGCTCAGTCTTTTGGGGGGGCTACCAAACAGCTCTATGTAGACCTGGCCTTCAGACAGAGAACAGGCATGGGATGGCATAGCAGAACTACCACCTCTCATTCATTTGTTCATGGTCTGTGTTGACAATAAATAAGATCCTGGATTTTATAACTATGCTTTTTTTTTTTTTTTGTATTAGGAGGCATAGCAGAGTGATTTTGAAGGGGCTTAGGAGTGGCTAGAATCTGTATGCTCTTGGGCAAGTATTCCTTTGCCATGCCTCACTGCCTTCAAAAAGGAGGCGGGGAGTGGGAATACAGCCTTTACTTCATGGGATCATTTTGAAGATTTAAGACCCTTTAAGGCATGTGAATTGTTTATTAGCAAAGAGCCGGGTACTTAGGAAAAATGTTTATTGGGATTATGTTATTAGAATTTAAGAGTACAACAGTCTGGCATATATAAAATTTAGAAACTTTCATTGTGTCTGTATGGGTAAATTTGATTTGACCGGGGGGATCCCTGGGTGGCTCAGCAGTTTAGCACTGCCTTCCGCCCAGGGTGTGATCCTGGAGACCTAGGATCAAGTCCCGCGTCGGGCTTCCTCCTGGGGCCTGCTTCTCCCTCTGCCTGTGTCTCTGCCTGCCTCTCTCTCTCTCTCTCTCTCTCTCTCTCTCTCATGAATGGATAAATAAAATATTTTTTAAAAAAATTGATTTGACCAGAATTAGATGATTTACTGTACTAGAAGTTCTTTTAAAAACCAAATGGAGGATCCCTGGGTGGCGCAGCGGTTTAGCGCCTGCCTTTGGCCCAGGGCACGATCCTGGAGACCCGGGATCGAATCCCATGTTGGGCTCCCGGTGCATGGAGCCTGCTTCTCCCTCTGCCTGTGTCTCTGCCTCTCTCTCTCTCTCTCTCTCTCTCTCTCTCTCTCTCTCTCTGTGACTATCATAAATAAATAAAAATAAAATAAAATAAAATAAAAACCAAATGGGGAAAAAATAAATAAATAAAAAATAAAAATAAAAAATAAAAACCAAATGGGTCAAGGGACACCTGGGTGGCTCAGCAGTTGAGCATCTGCCTTTGGCTCAGGGTGTGATCCAGGGATGGAGTCCCACATCAGGCTCCCTGCAGTGAACCTGCTTCTCCCTCTGCCTATGTCTCTGCATCTCTCTCTGTGTCTCTCATGAATATATAAGTAAAAATCTTAAAAAAAAAAAAAAACAACAACAACCAAATGGGTAAAAAAAATAAAAACAAGGGGCAACTGATTCAGTCCAAGGAACATGTGACTCTTGATGTCAGAGTCATGAGTTCGAGCCCCATGTTGGGTGCAGAGATTACTTAAATAAATCAACTTAAAAGAAAAAATCAATTGGGTTGTGTTTCCTGGCTGGCTCAGTTGGTAGAGCATGCACATTTGATCTCAGGGTTGTGAGCTGAAGCTGCATACTGGGTACAGAGCTTACTTTTAAAAAATTCCAAATGGGTCAATTTCTCATTTAAAAAATCAGTAAAAAATAGGCTGTACTTTGCTAATTTCTAGCCCTCTTGACAATTTCTAGATGTGGTCAGCTTTGGACAAGATGCCAGCTCCAGCCACCACATATGAAAGAATAGTTTACAGAAATCCCTCTGAGCACCACTATATGAAAGTCTGCCTGTAAGTTCAGTCTCCTGAATTCTATTTTCGATTACTTTTCATGAATCTGAATAGTATGAAATTTAATAATTTTTTTTTCTTTTTAATGTTTTTACAGAGAATTTCAAGATCATGGGGTTGGATTGAATGTTGCACAGTTCAAACAGCTGCTTATTTCAGCCTTAAAGGACCTGTTTGGGGAGGTATGAACCATTGATAGATTGGCCACTCCTAAGATCTTTCTAAGAAATACTAAAACAGGGGTGCCTGGGTGGTTCAGTTGTTTGGGCGTCTGCTTCAGCTCAGGTTGTGATCCCAGGGTCCTGGGATTGAGCCCCAAGTTGGGCTCCTTGCTCAGCGGAGAACCTGCTTCTCGCTCTGCCTGTCATTCCCCCTGCTGGGCTATCTTTCAAATAAATAAAATCTTTAAAAAAAAAAAAAAAAAAAAAGGAAGTACTAAAACAATGTGCCTTTCCAAGTAATTGTTTTAAAACCATATTTGAAATTGCCAGAGCAGACTTTCAGAAATAATGAATTCTGAGTAGATTTGTTCTGATATGCCTTCTATTTGACCAGGAACTTGTTACACAGATGTTTTAGTGTAGGTCTACTCACAGTATGGTCCGGACTACCAACCTGCAGGCAGTTCTTTGGTCTGGTTTTGTTTTTAAGATTTTACTTATTTATTTAGGAAGAGAGAGTGTATGAGAAGGGGGTGGGTAGCAGGGCAGAGGGAGAAGGGGAGAGAGAACCCAAAGCAGACCCCATGCTGAGTGTGGAGCCCAGTGTGGGGCTTGATCTCATGACTCCAAGATCACGGCTAGAAATTAAGAGTCGGGCACTTAACTGACTGAACTACCCTGGCCCCCTATGCAAACAGTTTGTTGTCTATTGTGAAGATTTGTGACTCTCACCAGAATCAGCACACCACTTTGCTTAGAAATTCTCCTTACGCAAAAATCGAGCTGAATTATCAGAAGCGCATGTAGCTGTTGATCTCAGGGTTGTGAGTTTGAGCCCCACATTGGTGTACTAAAAAAGAATAAGTAAATAAACTTAAAAAAAAAAATTAAGCTGGGCAGCCGAGTGGCTCAGCGGTTTAGTGCTGCCTTCAGCCCAGGGCGTGATCCTGGAGACCCGGGATTTTATTTATTTATTCATGAGAGACACAGAGAGAGAATGAGAGGCAGAGACGCAGGCAGAGGGAGAAGCAGGCTCCATGCAGAGAGCCTGACGAATAAATAAAATCTTAAAAAAAAAACTAAGCTGAACTAAATATTGTTGATTTACATTGTGATACAGCCTCTTATTTTGTTGCATATCAGCACATTGAGGAGTCCTGTTTTAGCATTTACTTGAAAATAAGTAGAATTTTAGGAGGGAACAAAGATAGATGATTCAGGAAATTATTTCCTGACTCATACGTTTTATCAAATCAGGAAATTATTTCCTGATTCGTATGTTTTATCAAATCAAAATCTGGTAAGCATCACATTAAACACATACTCCACAACAGGCTCAGTTAAGAGAATGAAAATCCAGATTACAATTGGGAAAACTAGTTGCAAACTGCATATCTAAAATATAAAAAGAATGCTCAAAACTCAATTGTAAAAAAACCAAAACGTTCCAGTTAGAAAATGAGTAAAAGGCACAAATAGACATTTCACTAAAAGGATGTTCTGTTGGCAAAGAAGCATGTGAATGAAAAGATATTCAACATTATTAGCCATTAGAGAAATGCACATTAAAAACACTGAGGTTCAGACAACAATCACAACAACAGCAAAACACAATGAGGGGGCTCCTGGCTGGCTGGTTGGTGGATCATGTGACTCTTGGTCCCTTGATCTCTTGGGTTGTGAGTTTGAGCCCCACATTGGATGTCAAAATTACTTAAAAATAAAATCTTTAAAAAACGAGCAAATAAAAAATAAAAACACAGTGAACTAGCACTACACATCTAGCAGGACAACTGAAATTAAAATAATAACGATAACACTAAATGCTGGTAAGGATGCAAAGAAACTGGATCACTAGTGGAATGTAAAATGGCACAGCCACTTTGGAACAGCATTTGACAGTTTCTAAAAACAACTAGACATGCATCTACTGTTAATACCCAGCAGTTACCCACCTGGGCATTTGTCCCAAAGAAGCGGAAACTTAGGTTCAACAAAACTTGTATATGAGTGTTCATAGCAGCTTTATTTGTTGTTTTGTTTTGTTTTGTTTTAAAGATTTATTTATTTATTCATGATAGACCTAGAGAGAGAGAAGCAGAGGCACAGGAGGGAGAAGCAGGCTCCATGCCGGGAGCCCAACGCGGGATTGCACCCTGGGCCAAAGGCAGGCGCTAAACCGCTGAGCCACTCAGGGATCCCCTAGCAGCTTTATTTGTAAGAGCCCAAAAGAAATAAGCCGTATGTCCTACAGTGAGTAAATAAAGAACATTCATGATCTATTCATACAGTAGAATATACTCAATAATAAAAAGGAACAAACTATAGATACACATAATAACCATCTCCAGAGAATTATGCTAAGTGAAAAAGTTAGTCCCCAAAGGTAACATTCTGAAGGATACCATTTGTATAGTGCACCTGAAATAACATAATTCTATAATCTGGAGAAAGATCCGTGGTTAGAGATTGGGGAGGAGTGGGTGTGAGTATAAACACACAGAAGGAGAGAGCCGTGTGGTGATGGTATAATTCTTTATCTTGATTGTGGTGGTGGTTGCATGAAACTCCCTATGTGGTAGAATTGCATAGAACTACGCGTGCACACACACAAATGCACCAGCAAACATTGAGTGCATGTATAACTGGTAAAATCTGAATGAACTCTGGTTTATCAATTTTAGGTTTGAGGTTTGATATTATCTTACTAGGGGAGGCTTCTGAAGGGTGCGTAGAACCTTCCCATAAATTTCTTTGCAACCTCTTGAGACTCTGATTTTTAAAAATAGAAAGTTTAAGAAAATAGCATGTACCTTCTCTATGTCAGGTATAAAACCTGGTTCCTGAGGATGTGGCTGTAAACAGGCAGGGGCTCTGCCTCATAGATGAATGGTCTTGATTATTTTAGTAGAATACTATGTTGAGGGGCAGCCTGGGTGGCTCAGCGGTTTAGCACTGCCTTCAGTCCAGGGCCTGATCCTGGAGACCCAGGATCGAGTCCCATGTCAGGCTTCCTGCATGAAGCCTGCTTCTCCCTCTGCCTGTGTCTCTGCCTCTTTCTCTCTCTGTGTCTCTCATGAATAAATAAATAAAATATTAAAAAAAAATACCATGTTGAGGGCACCTGGATCGCTCAGTCAAGTGTCTGCCTTCAGCTCAGGTCGTGATCTCAAGGTCCTGGGATCAAGTCCCACGTTGGGTTCCCTGCTCTGTGGGGAGCCTGCATCTCCCTCTGCCAATCTCTGTCTCTCATAAATAAATAAAATCTTTAAGAAATCTTGTTGAACAATTAATGGCAAGAATGATGAGTATTATAAGAGAGGAAGTATATGGTTCCTGAATGTGAAGGAGCATAGCAAACAATTGAGCTTAATCTTGGGGATCAGGAATGGAACTTTCTATTTTTTAACCCTGAGATCAAAAAGTCTCATGCTCTACAACTGAGCCAGCCAGGTGCCCCCAGGGATGGGACAACTTAAAAAATGACTTAAAGGTGAAGAGTCATTAACAGTATGAAGAGCTATAGGAAGAACATTCCAGACAGGGGGAATTGTAAATAAGCAGGCTCAGGACTATAGCACCACTAATAAAATATTGCTTTTTTGGAGGAGAAAAGCAGTTAACAGGATTAGTTATTAGACTTTAAGAATAGTGATGATAGGAGGCACCCTGCTGGCTCAGTCAGTACAGCATGTGACTCTTGATCTCAGGATTGTGAGTTTGGGCCCCACGCTGGGTCTAGAGATTATTTTTAAAAATAAAGAATAGTGATAATAATGGTCTGCTAATAGTATTATTCCATACTTAGGTTGCTGCAGCCTTACCTTTGGACGTCCTAACCTATGAAGAGAAGACCTTGTCAGCCATCTTGAGGATATCTAGCAGGTATGACAGACACAGGCACATTTGTAGTACAACAGGGCAGAGGCAATGGAGAAATAAAGCAAAACTGCTCTTCTCTGAGTATGAGAAGAGTTTTGTTCTGAGCAGCTTTTGGAAATTTAAACTGGGAAGGATGAATATTTATCTACCAGGAACTTAAACTATCCAGAGCAAAACTCTTTGCTTACAACTGTAGTGTTTCCCAATTGATGGTCATGGGTGCAAACTCAAAAATGTGTATTTTATTTTATTTTATTTTATTTAAGATTTTATTTATTCATGAGAGACAGAGAGAAAGAGGCAGAGACAGGCAGAGGGAGAAGCAGGCTCCATAAAGTTTTCTCAGGGTACCTGGGTGGCTCAGTGGTTGAGCATCTGCCTTCAGCTCAGGTCGTGATCTCAGGGTCCTGGGATCGAGTCCCACATTGGGCTCCCTGTGAGGAGCCTGCTTCTCCCTCTGCCTGTGTCTCTGCCTCTCTTTCTGTGTCTCTCATGAACAAATAAAATCTTTAAAAAAAATAAAGTTTTCTCATTTAGTGCTCACTTTGGCAGTACATATACTCAGGTTTCCTCATTTAGATTAGGTTTTCTGGACCTAATTTAACTATCTGGACTATCACAGAAATACCGGGGAGATGTCACAGACAAATCCTTATGCATTCTTGATCTCTCTACAGTGGTCTTGTCAAATTGTGGAGCTCTTTGACTCTATTGGGATCCTATAAAGGCAAGAAATGTGCTTTCAGAGTGATTCAGGTAAAGACCGTTCCTTCACATATTCCAAACAAGGCTGAGTAGGGATCAAACTGCTTTTTCTTAAGACTTATTTATTTGAGAGAGTTTGCAAGCGCATGTCGCGAGCAGGGGAGAGGGAGAGGGAAAGAATCTCAAGCAGACTCCTCTGAGCATGGAGCCCAAAGCAGGGCTCATGTCCCATTTTTGTGCTTGCAAAAATCTAGTATGGCTAACATCCAACTAGGGGCGGCGGGGAGGAATAAGGACTACGTTGTTCTGGAAAAGTGAGAGAAAGCACTTAGATTGAATGGGACATGTTTGGGGGTGAAACTTGGAACTCTTGTGGAAAGGTCTTAACTTTTCATTTGTTGCTTAATGCCGAGTGCCTCCTTAAATATTAGAACACTATGAACTTATTATGGCCACTTGTGTATCTAAGGCTACCTCTAGGGATGCTCTTTAAAATGTCACTGCATCGGCTTTGCTTACCCTTTAAAACTAAGCATGTTTCTCTGTACCCTGTGTTTCAGTGCAGTTTTCTCCCCTTATTTCCTTAACTTTTTTCCTCCTCTTACAGGTTTCTCCATTTCTTCTCGCCTTATCTGGTAATAGTAGGGAACTAGTATTGGATTGAGAAGTCTTCAATTTCAGAAATACACTGCCACTCTCAAAAGCACTTTTTTGGTGACAATATGATGTTTGAAGACTGAAGCAGTCTAAAGCTCCAACTGCTGAAATTTGATGGTGCTGAAGATGTTCCCAGTAATTTCCCGCCATCGTCTGTGGTGGGGTGGGCTTCAGAGGAGCATCTGCCCGAGCCAGCCAGTGCTGAGCAGGCAGTGTATTGAGCAGATGCACGTCCGAGTGGGAGACCGCGCTGAACTCAGCAGGGCCTTCACGCAGAGGGACGTGGCTGCCTTCTCAGAATTAACGGGGGATGTCAATCCTTTGCATTTAAACGAAGATTTTGCAAAACACACCAAGTTTGGAAAGAGAATTGTACATGGAGTTTTGGTCAATGGACTTATTTCAGCACTCTTGGGAACTAAAATGCCAGGGCCAGGCTGTGTATTACTTTCACAGGAAATTAGCTTTCCAGCCCCTTTATATGTTGGAGAAGTTGTCTTAGCTTCTGCAGAGGTAAAAAAGCTAAAGCGGTTTGTTGCTGTTATTGCAGTGTCATGTTTTGTAACAGAAAGTAAGAAGACGGTTATGGAAGGCTGGGTTAAAGTTATGGTCCCAGAAACTCCCAAATCCTGAAACGTGGTCAAAGATGCATGTTCAAGTGCCAGTGGTGTACTGTTGGTGAAGAGCCTCTGGGGAAGTTAGGGATTGCTGCCTTTCACCAGGGGATGCCTTGTAGACCTCAAAGCCCGTTGAGGGCGGGGGTGGAAGCAAGGAGCTGGGTGTACAAAGGTTCACTGTCTGATTTGGCTTTAAGCTTCACACAGACTTGAGTGTATTCATCATCTGTCTAGGTTTTTAAAATTGAAAAAAATACCAGGAAGGTTATTTAGCTGAAGGTTCTAATTTTCAGATTTCACATCTAGTTAGATCTGCATTTTGATAATACAAACCTGCTTCTGGGCAGAATAAGTTCATCGCTGAATTTATAACTAGCAGTTAATTATTGAAAGCAACCACAGAAGCCAGGCCATCTTGAGCACCTACCTTCTACCAGGCAGTGTTCTTAGAGCCTGTTGTTCAGCAGTTTCTGGCTCAGAGTTTATTGTAATTTGTTACTGCTCACACCACAATGGCACCTTGTTGCATCCTCAGTGGCATTTGCCTTTTACATGGTTTTCCATGGAGAAGGGCTATATGCACATTTGGACTCATTCTATGTAAACTCTCAATCTCATGTATGAAACAGGGATGACAACACCTACCACACAGGATTGTTGGAGAGGCTAGGTACAAATAGCTAAGCACAAAGTCCAACCTGTAAAGTAGTTAACTGCTGTCGTCCGTTCTCCCCTGTGGATGAAGTTACAGGTTTTCCTGAGGTTAAAGCAAACTGGCTCACAATTAAACATAACAGACTAATTTTCATGATGTTGGTCCATCTAAGCCTGAAATAGAGTTTGAGTGAGAAGTTTCTATTTTACTAATCTAGATTATTTTCTCTCTCCCTTGAAAACACTGGATTCTCCCCTTTACAAATAATACATATGTCAATTGTAAAGATATTTTAAATAAAAAGTATAAGGAACCCTGTAGAGGCCAAGTTCTTAAGAACCAAGAGGTATCAAAAAATCAATCCGTATCCACAAAAAAAGTTGGGTACTGAAGAGGAAATGCACTTAATGTGTTCATACTGAGTGGTCATCCCCAGCATAGCCAACACAAGGTAATCTATAACAGAACATCTGCTCTCTGGCTTTACATGGTGGTTCTGATTACAGCTGGGTGCTTTTATCAGGAAGATAGATCAAGTGTCATTGGTGGAATCAGCCCCCATTTCCTGGGAAAAGGTTTTTCCTCCTGGTGGATCAGTAATTAGAGTTTTTTTTTTTTAAAACAACAAAGGAATAAATTAAGCAGATTATTAGAAAAAAATCATCCTAGTCACTAGAGGGCAGTGATGTCTATAAATAGTATTTTTAAACTGTTTAACATTGTACCATACTCCAATTGGTGATGGTGAGAAGAAAATATGAAAATCAATATGAGAAGCAAGAGTGCCATTCTCATAAATTTCAGAGTGGGCAGCTGTGCGGGCTCAGGTGCACCAGAAGAAGACTTATTTATAGGGGGAAGGCTATGGAAGCTAAAATTTTGATACAATATTGAAAAACTACAGATTCAAACCAAGACTGCCTTTTCCTGTAGAACTCCTTCTCTGGAACTAGTAGCACTCTTGAAGTGTAGGTCCATAAATGTTTTGCGATTATTAATACTAGTAGCTACCATTTTTTCACTGTGAGCCAATCTCCCCCCCCCCCCCTTTAAGATCTTATTTTAGAGAGTGCGAGTAGGAGGAGGGGCAGAGGGAGAAGGAGAGAGAATCTAACAGACTCAGGACACTTGGGTGGCTCAGCGGTTGAGCACCTGCCTTCGGCCTAGAGCATAATCCTGGAGACCTGGGATCGAGTCCCACATCGGGCTCCCTGCATGCTTCTCTCTGCCTATGTCTCTGCCTCTCTCTGTGTGTGTCTCTCATGAATAAATAAATAAAATCTTAAAAATAAGATCTTAAAAAATCTAACAGACTCTGCACTAAGCATGGAGCCCATTGCAGGGCTCAATCTCGTGACCCTGAGATCATGACCTGAGCTGACTCTGAAACCAATAGTTGGACACTTAGCTGACTGAGCCATCCAGATGCTCCATTTTCTTTTTTTATTTAAGATTTTATTTTTAGGGGATCCCTGGGTGGCTCAGCAGTTGAGCGCCTGCCTTCGGCCCAGGGCGTGATCCGGGAGTCCCGGGATCGGGTCCCACATCCGGCTCCCTGCATGGAGCCTGCTTGTGTCTCTGCTTCTCTCTCTCTCTCGTGTCTCTCATGAATAAATAAATAAAATCTTAAAAAAAAAAAAAAGATTTTATTTTTAAGTAATCTCTACACCCAATGTGGAGCTTAAACTTAGAGCCCTGAGATCTGAGAGTCACATGCTCAACCAGCTGAGTCAGCCAGTTGGCCCAATGAGCCAGTTTTCTACATTAACTCTAATCCTTGAAAACTTTGTGAATTAAAGTTAATGTCCCATTTTATAGGCAAGGAAATAGACATGCTGTGTGACTTGCCCAAGGCTGTACAACTAGTATGTGGTAGAGCTGGGATGTAAATGGGGGCCCACCTGGCTCCAGAGCATTTCTTTTTTCCATCTCCATGTGGGTCTTATAATGTTCTCATTACTGAAGCACTGTCAGTTTCTTGTTAATAGTATCTTGTTATGTGGCATTACAATATTCAGAACCACCATTCTATAAAATTCTTTTTTTTTAAAGATTTTGCAAACTAGGTTTTTTTTTTGTTTTTTGTTTTGCAAACTGTAGTTTTTATTTTAAAAAGAGTTTATTTATTCATGAGAGACACACAGAGAGAGGCAGAAACACAGGCAGAAGGAGAAGCAGGCTCCCTGCAGGGGAGCCTGCCTGATGCAGGGCTGGATCCCAGGACTCAGGGATCATGGCCTGAGCCAAAGGCAGATGTTCAACCACTGAGCCACCCACGCACCCCTATAAAATTCTTTTTATATTCATATTCAGATTGTGCTAGATCTTACTCCCTGCTACAGTTGTAGCATTTTACTATATATTATTACTTCATGACTTCCACCCATAACCATCACCTACCCTTTATCTCAGTTGACATTCAGTGATTATTTGTCTTTAGAGCAGAATTACTGAAAGGGTTATTCTAAAAAGTGAGAAGTTAAATAAAATAAAAATAAAAAAAAAAAAAAAAAGAAGGGATCCCTGGGTGGCGCAGCGGTTTGGCGCCTGCCTTTGGCCCAGGGCGTGATTCTGGAGACCCCGGATCGAATCCCACGTCGGCCTGCCGGTGCATGGAGCCTGCTTCTCCCTCTGCCTGTGTCTCTGCCTCTTTCTCTCTCTCTGTGTGTGTGACTATCATAAAATAATAAAATAAAATAAAAATTAAAAAGTGAGAAGTTATGTGTAGGCCAAGTATGGTGGGGAAAGGTGGAATGTCAGATCTGGCTGGTCACTGACTTAGTGTAATTCAAAAGTAGCTTCTCAATATGAGCAATTTCATTTTGTAAATGGTCCCTGAATGCCTTGGTATTCTTTGATCTCCATAAATCAATAAAAAGAATACAGAAATAGACAAGAAAGGATGCTGCTCTATAAATGAGGACTTCTTATTTGTACTCAGAGATTCTTAAACCACTCATGCTTTAACAGCTGGGTATAAGGGAAACTGGCTGGTTGTTGTGTTCATGTTGAGCCCTGTAGCAGATGCCAAAAAGAATGCAGTTCTTCTATTGAAAGCATGGATGACCCTCAAATTAGGAAATTGTGTCCAGGATAATTGAGAGGGGGCCTTGATTGTACTAGCTTATAGGTGGAAGTGAGTACAAAAGTACTAAAATAGGCCAAACTGTACTAGCACTTTCCACATAGGGGCATTGTAAGACTGCAATTTTTGTAATATTTGATTGCTACAGAAAGATATACCCATCTTAAGCAATTTCAGCCTAATGTACTGGAAAATTGCTTAACAGATTTTTATATTCTATTAGAAACATTTCCATATTGGTGAGATGCCACTCATTTCTTTCTCTGAGCAGCAAATCTTGAGTAGCAGCAGGAAGAAAGCCTCACCACAGCCACCATTCATCTTGTGGACCTGACTTGGCGTATTCATCTAGAAAAGGAAGAAATTGCTAAATGCAGGCTGGTACCCTCTTAGGTAACCACAGGTTTTCATTTGGTGCTGCATTATTAGTCATTTTTCTTTTATGTTCTTAGAGTATGATTCAGAGACCAATTTACTCCCAAAGAAAATTGCTATTAAATTATAACTATTAAGTTTTTATACTAAAACATACTCTAGCAAGGGTTGACTGTCACTCTGAGCAGCTGTGCCACTCTGAATGCTTCATGTGTTGGCATAATTTATTAACTGGCTCTATCTGAGCAGAGTGAGAGTGCTGGGAAATTACTCTTGGGGTGCACTTCAGTATCTCCCAGGTCCCAGATGTTTCATTCTTTGTTCTTGGCTTGTCTTCATTTGGATTACAAACACAGCAGAGACAAGAATTCTCAAACTCTTCAGAGAAATTTTGGGTTGGGGTAAAATCAAGTACAACAAACCATTCAAGTTCAGAATCCTAAGAGAACCCAAGACTGATGTTGACACTACATAAATAGAACAGGATTAATAGGAGACCCCACAAACAGTAAATTTCTAGGCCACAATCAATTTCTAGGGTGGCTTTTAGCTGTATATGACCTTCTTATAAACCCTGGACAAAATTCCTCTGTGATGGCAATGGCAAATATCAAAGGGAAATAAAAATGATCAAATGTGAATTTGATCAAATTTTGTTTTCTGTCCACATCATGAATATTTGAAGAAATAAAATAATTTTCCGTTGGGAGGCAATGTTGTGTAGGAAGCACTGAGTTTTTCACAAGCTTCTATGATTTGGTTTGTAGAGCAGTTGCCAGGTCTAGAAGCATCCTCACTAAAGCATTTTCATTATCTTCAATCTGGCCCAATGTCAAGTTGTTAAACAACCTGTGGGCCATTGAAACATTTGGCAACATATAAGGATATAAATCTTTTTTTTTTTTCCTTGCTAGCCTGAGGAGTTGTGTATGTGGCAAAAAACAAAATATGCATAACTCACTAGCTTCTGCTGGGTCTGAGGCTGGAAGCAGAGCTAATTTGATTTAGATCAGCTCTGGCCTGGGGAGGGTTTCCCCATACATACCCCATAAGCTACTTCAAAAGCTATCACAGGGTTTGGGGCCTGGTCTCCAGAGGATCTATGGATCCAGTTAAATCCAGGATCCTCAGGGGTTCGCTGACAAGGTACTGATTTGGGCAGATGAAAATGAAATTATAAGGTTCACTGTGGTATTTATTCTGAGGGCCTTACTTCAGGCAAGAATCTCCAGAGAAAGGGACAGTCTAATTGAGAGTTAGTCTTTGGCTTCATTCCATCAAACATCTGATTTCTTGCTTTCAGTTTCCTTTCCCTAGTGAGGAAAACTTAGACAAGATTGTTATTTTACAAACTTTGCAACTTGATTGTATACTATTTTTTCATAATTATACAAGTAAAATATCTTCATTAGAGACATTTTGGAAAATACAGAAAACCATACAAATGAAAGGCATCATGATCTCATTCCAAGAGACCCTCAGTTAATATTTTGATGTTTTCCCTTGTTCTATATAAACATGGGATCATATAAATGCACATATTGCTTTTTTCTCCACTCACTATTATATGAAGTGCATTTCCCAACATCATTAAATATCCTTTGATAATCTGATTTTGAATCACTGCAAAATATTCTTGTGATTGTCCATGATTTTGTCCAATTCCCTATTGTTGGATATTTATCCTTGTATGCCATTTATTTGCACTGATCTCTGATTATTTGCTTAGGATACCCTCCTAAAGGTGTAATTACTGGGTGAGAATATTTTCAAACCCCTTGATATGTATTATCAAATCCCAGCTCCTAGCACTAGGTAAGTACCTATTACACAATCAGTACTTTGTAAATTATTGTTGAATGAATAAATGCCTTTCAGAAATACCAGCACTATTTGAGAAGAGCCTTGTCTTGATCAGTCCACATCATGACAGGAATAATGATTAAAGTAGAATTTTGGTTTCTGTGATTCTGGCAATGAAATAATCCATTTGCTTTAAAAAAATAGAAGAAAGTTGAGGGGTGCCTGGGTGGTTCAGTTGGTTGAGCATCTGACTCTTGATACTGTTTTACTTTAAAGGATTTTATCCAACCATTCATGAGAGACATAGGCAAAGGGAGGCAGGCTTCCCTGGGGGAGTGAAGAGCTGGATGTGGGACTTGATCCCAGGACCCTGGGACGACGACCCGAGCCAAAGGTAGACACGCTGAACTACTGAGCCACCCAGATGCCCCCTGATTCTTGATTTTGGCTCAGGTTGTGATCTCAGAGTCGTGGAATCAGGCTCTATGGCAGGCTCTGCACTGGGCATGGATCCTGCTTAAGATTCTCTCCTCCTCTCCCTCTGCTCCCACCTCCCCCCCCCCAAAAAAAGAAAGTAAAAAATAAAAAAGAAGCAAAAAGTTGAATCATCTCTAAATGATATATGGTTGTGTTTTAATAGACTGCTGCTTTTATTTTATTTTATTTTTAAAAATGTTATTTGTTTACTCATGAGAGACAGAGAGAGGCAGAGACAGGCAGAGGGAGAAGCAGGCTCCCTGTGGGGAGTAGGATGTGGGATTTGATCTCCCAGAACCCAGGGATCACACCCTGAGCCAAAGGCAGACACTCAAACACTGACCCACCTAGGTGTCTGTAGACTGCTGCTTTTAAACACTCAGAGACCAAAATGGAATGCAGGAAGAATTCTGGTATTAGGATAGAATCATGAAGTTCCTTTTTCACATGTCAGTCTGTCATGGCTACTTGCTGAACAATCTCTATAAGCTCAAGATTTGGAGAGGGTTTTCTTTAGATATTAGGCCTTTGCTGTCATGTCTAATAGTAGTGGTGGTGGTGGTGGTGGGAAGGGGTAGGGAGGTGGGGGGAGTTACCAAGAAATTTTATTATCTTGTTTGAAATGTTGAAAATTAGGGGAGATAAATTTAAGAGTTAGAAACTCTTAAATTCTGCGTTCTGCGAAATGTAGGGGAAGGAAGTTAACTAATATTGTGGGGCAAAAATGTGCCAAGCTCCTTCCTGTCCTACTGTATTCCACATCCCAACCTTTCCATATAGGTATTAGTATCTCCATTTTGCTGATAGGGAGCTGGGGCTCAGAGAGTTTGGGTAACTTACTCAAGACCACACAGCTATAAATACCAGAGCCCCAGAGATCCCGGTCAGGTCATCTGATTCCAAGTCTAACTCCACTGTTCTGGGATGCAGCCATTGGAAAGAGCAGTGTGGGTGGGATTGCCGGGGTGAGGTAGGGGAAGAGGTTGGGGAGGCAAGGGGAGAGCCAGAATTGTGGCCTTGGTTTCAGAAATTCTGTGGGGGCAAACCTGGAGCTGAGAAGTTGATCTCAAAGTTCTCTGGCTCTGTGCTTAAGGTTCCCGGAGCCAGTACAGTGGGGCTGATGATCCCCAAGTCTGCAGCATCTTGGTTGAGGGTTCTCAGGGGTGAAGGCTGTTAAAAATATTCAGCTAAGTAAATCTGAAGATCTAATAGACATTATTTTAAAAAATATTTTATTTGGGCAGCCCCTGTGGCCCAGCAGTTTAGCGCCACCTTCAGCCCAGGGCGTGATCCTGGAGACCCTGAATTGAGTCCCACATTGGGCTCCCTGCATGGAGCCTGCTTCTCCCTCTGCCTGTGTCTCTGCCTCTCTCTCTCTGTCATGAATAAATAAAAATAAAATCTTTAAAAATATATATATTATTTAAATTCAGTTTGCCAACATATAACACCCAGTGCTCATCTCATCTTGTGCCCTCCTTAATGCCTGTCACCCAGTTAGTTACCCCATCCCCGCCACCTTCTAATAGGCATTATTAAGTGATTCACGGTTCAGGCAGCATCCGGCCTAGCAAGCAGAAAGGAGCTCTGAGGAGCCTACGATAAGTAAGGTTTTTATAGGAAGGAGGGTGAGGCAAGGAAGTCATTAGCAAAAGAAAGGATTATTTCAGGCAAAGACATTTTCCCCTAGGGGAAAGAGCAGGGGGTCTAATTATGCAAACTGCCTCATCTTCCTTTTGTGGGGGTGGGAGGTGGATGGATAGAGTCTGTGTGTCAGATAACCTCACTGGTGCTGGTCAGAAAATTCCTTACTGATGGTTAAAACTACATTTTTCTTAAAAAGATTTTATTTATTTATTCATGAGAAACACAGAGAGAGGCAGAGACCTAGGCAGAGGGAGAAGCAGGCTCTTTGCAAGGAGCCTGATGTAGGGCTCGATCCCAGAACCCCAGGATCACGCCCTGGGCCCAAGGCAGAAGCTCAACCGCTGAGCCACCCAGGCGTCCCTAAAACTACATTTATGGGGGAGGCTGGAACCATAGTTAGACAGTAACCCCTGGTCTGGTGATGTAGCCTAGCCTAAGTGACTCCATTTTGGGTTTCTTGGTTTTCTTTTTGACAATGCCTCCTGGCTGGGGCCAAGGGTGGGGATGGAGTCCCAGCTGGAGGCCCAGTTTTTAGGATCCCCAGTTGGAAGAGCTTGAGTCGGAAGGGCCCGGGGTCCAAAGGACTGTGTGGGGTCCAATTCTGAAGGCCCACCTCTTAGGTTCTGGGGTCTGAAAAGCCAGGATCAAGGGTTCAGTAAAACCTGAATCCTAGAGGCTTGTTGTAGGGAGCTTCTGGGTCTCCAGGGCTCGGACTGAGGGTCTCATCCCGAAGGCCCCTTGCCTGGGTCTGAGGGCCCTTGGGCCCGGAGGCCTGGGGAGGAGGGGTCCAGCTGGAGAGGTCTCAGTCGGGCAGTCCCGGCTTCGAGGGCCTAAGGCGAAAAGCCCAACAACTGCGAGGCTATTTGGCCATCTTGGGGCTTGAGGGTTCCTGGACCGCAGGGCTCAAGATGCCATGTTTTGGGATCTGAGCATCCCGAGTCTGAGGCTGGGGGTTAAGAGTACCCGGCCTGGCTGCGGGCGGCCGGCGGCGAGGAGCTTGGAAACGCGTGTCCAGGACAGCGGCGACCGCGACGGGTTGGCGCTAGGACCCCGCGGGAGGCGGCGGCGGCGGCGGCGGCGGCGGGAAGGGGCGCCCGTGTTGACAGCGGCGGCGGGGCGGCCGGCGCTAGGACCCGGCGGGCGCGGCGGGTGGCGACAGCGCGTGGGGCGGCGCGTGTTGACAGCGGCGGCGGCGGCGGCGGCGGCGGCGGCGGCGGCGGCGGAGCCGGGCGGGCGGGCGGGCGGCGGGAGTCGGCGCCCGCGGTTCCTGTCCCTGGAGTCGAGGCGCTGGCGGACGCGCGTCCGGGGATGGCCTTCATGGAGAAGCCGCCGGCCCGCAAGGTGCTGCTGGACGACACGGTGCCGCTGACAGCAGCCATCGAGGCGAGCCAGAGCCTGCAGTCGCACACGGTGCGCGGCCCCCGGGCGGGCGGAGGGCGGAGGGCGGAGGGGCGGCCCCGGGCCCCGGGCCGCGGGCGGGCTGCGGGCGGGCTGCGGGCGGGCTGCGGGCGGCCCAGCGCGGGCCGGGGGCGCAGGCGGGCGTGGCGGGGGTGCCGGGGCCGGGCGTGGGGGCCGCAGCCCCTGGGCGCGGCGGGACGGATTCCCGGGCCCACCTCGGGCGGCGGAGTGGGGCAGCCCGGGGCAGCCCGGGGCAGCCCGGGGGACGCTGCCCGCCTCTGCCCGCCGTCAGCCTTGGCGCCGGGGCCGCGGAGTCTCCCTGCCTCACTGGGGACCCGAGCGTGGCGATGCGGGCATGTGCCCGGCCCGATGGAAGTGTGACTGGAGAGCCTTCTCGTTGGGACAGCGGCGTGTGGGCGGCCGGGTCGGCAGCCCCAGGTGCTGGGCAGGTGCTGGGCAGGTGCTGGGCAGGTGCTGGGCAGCTGCTGGGCCCGCGCGGGGAAGTGGTGAGGGTCGCGGGTGTGCGGGTGCGCGCCTTCCCTCCCCCGACCTGCTGTGGGTGGGCAGGGGTGGCACTCCTCGGGATCTAGGGGCCACCGCAGTAGCCTAAAGGACTGATGGGTCCTCCTAGTAAACACAGGCAGAGTTCGTTTCTGTTGCCTGTACTGTCTTTTAACGGGTCTTTAAACCCAGGAGTGTTTTCATTTGCCTGAACACCCACCCACCCACCCTTCTTTTTTTTTTTTGAAAAAACACTGTGCATTAAAATTTACAAGCAATAAACCTAGGAACCAGCAAAGAAAAAAAAAAGAAAGAAAAACAAAACAACATCAACTAAAAAAAAAAAAAAAGCAAAGAAAAAAAGAGAAAGAAAAACAAAACAACTAAAAAAAAAAAAACAAAACCCAAAAACAAAAACAAAAAACAGCAAAACAGGACCCCTAAAGCCGCCATCCAGTGGGACCTTGGGAAATAATGAATGGGGGGAGAGAGAGATTCCTTAAATCGTAATGTTTTGTCAGGTCACAGAATCAGATTCCGGCTCAGAGGCTTGTTTGTTTACCATTGCAGTGTGTTTAGGGTTCATCTTCTGGAGGCGAAAGCCCCACAATAGCCTTCTGTTTCTCCTTTTTGTTCAAGCTGTTCTGGTGACTTCAAAGAGATCTTTTATTCCTGTTGTATTAAAGTGAGACTTTTTTGAACCTCAGTTTCCTCTTCCGACAGCCGTGCTTTGCAGGGTTTGGATTGTTCACAGTGTTCATTTCCAGTTAGGAAAATGATTGTATATTTTTTATTTTTTATTTTAATTTATGATAGTCACAGAGAGAGAGGGAGAGGCAGAGACACCGGCAGAGGGAGAAGCAGGCTCCATGCACCGGGAGCCCAATGTGGGATTTGATCCCGGGTCTCCAGGATCGCGCCCTGGGCCAAAGGCAGGCGCCAAACCGCTGCGCCACCCAGGGATCCCCGATTGTATATTTTTTAAAGTGCATGGTATTTTATCATGCATCTCTCTCTTTTTTTTTAAAGATTTTATTTATTTATTCATTCATGAGAGACACAGAAAGAGAGGCAGAGACACAGGCAGAGGCAGAAGCAGGCACCATACGGGGAGCCCGACATGGGACTCGATCCTGGGTCTCCAGGATCACGCCCTGAGTTGAAGGCGGCACTAACCGCTGAGCCACCCGGGCTGCCCATCGTGCATCTCTTTAATCTTGTTTTACAGACTTGTGAAGAGGCGCTGTGTTGGACAGAATTTGTACCCTGTCATTACATTACCATTTGTAATGTATGCCTACAGGAGTATGGGTTAAAGGTGGAAATTTAGGGCAGGTAGTCAAGAATAAATTCTGCTATTCAATATTTGACTTAACTTTTGGCAAGTAATCTTACAAACTTTCAGGGAGAGGGGTTGAGTCTTTTAGGTTTATTTTGTGCTGAAAGTAAGAGATGCATATAAACACTCACAGAGAACTTCTTCCAGGAAGCATTCCATGATGGCCAAGCCCTGTGCTCATTTCCACCTTAACCTAGATCAGTTTGTTCTTGTAATTCTTTAGTTTTTCCTCTCCACCAGGTTTTGAGAGGAGGGCCCCTTGCCTGATTTTGGGTCCCGGTCCCTAGTGTCTGATAGGATTTCATATGTGTTTGTTAAATGAATAAACAAATGAATTGCAACCTTACTTTGCCGCTTTTTTGTTTGTGTAAAATGGTAGTGGTGAAAACTGGAACAACGTGGCATCTGAGATGCTAAGTTAAGGGGTCAGCTCTTCAGCAAGATAGTAAAAGATGTAATAGGATTCCATTTTAACTGCAGAACTTTTCTTTAAGAAATAAAATAGAGAATGGGAGTCCCTAGAATGATGACTGATCACAAAAGACAGTGACTCACCGGAGACCCATAGAGGCAGATGTGGAGTAAAAACACTGTAGCATTGTCTTGCGCAATTTTTGACTGTTCCATGTTCTTGTCATTTTAGCCGTAGAATTGGAGACTGGGAAATGTTGCATCAGCCCTGAACTTTATTGAGAAAATCATATGCTGATGCAGACTTTCTGGATTATTACCCTCTTATGAGTAAGTCCTTTTAAAACAGGAACTGTTGGAAATTATTTCGGAAAAAAGTAGTTGTTAATGGTGGCATATGGAAGAAAAGAGCATTGTTTTCTATTGGTAAAACTGAAGGTGGCTTTCCTACTTGTTAGCTGAAGGGAGATGGTGTTCCAGAAGTCAGAGGGCTGTCCTCCCTTTGAAATGCTGAAAATTGGGAATTGCTCCTTGGCTGTAGGATAGAAACGTACAGAGAGAGTATATAGTAGACAGCCTTTGAGTTGGAAGAAGCAAGACGTTAACACAGTTTTGGGCAGACACTTGCTAGTCTGAAACATTGGTTGAGCAAGTCACAAAAAAGTGAACTTTTTGATGTTGTAGTTTGATGTTGTAAATAGGGTAGTAAATGCCTGCCTGCCTGCCATCCAAGGTTGTTGCAAAGATCAAATGAAATAGTCTTTATGAAGTATTGGTAAAGTGCATTTCTTCTTCCATCTATTCACTCCCTGGTGAAATGACATTCAAAGGTTTAAAAAACAACAAGAACAAAGGGTTAAACATGTTAAAGTGTTCTTATCATGAATAGCTATTTTCTGTCCATAGTTCCTTCCATTTATCAATCAAGGTTGTTTAGCTTTGGGAAATACAATTTACAGCAGGAAATTTCAGGTTACATATGGTTTAAAGTTTATGGACTGGGGAGGGGAAAATTTTGTAAATTGGAAAATACAGAAGCCAGGATGGAGGGAACACAAGGTCACCACCAGAAAGGCATATTTGGTTGGGAAACTGGCAGAAAGGGCACAGACTGGTAGATGATTTGGTTCCTGACTGTGGTTTGAATGATTTTATTTTCACTTTTATGGAGCACAATGAATTTGGCTTCAGGAAATAGACCAGGCCTCTGCTGCAAGGAAATGAAACTTCCATAAAATCAGAAGGGACCATATTTAGGGAGGAACAGGAAGGATTTTCCAAACAAAAGGAATTTGAATAAAAAGCCATACAGGTGAATTGTGGGAGAGTTTGGGGAAGGACTAAGAGAAGACAAGGGAAATATAGGAATTCTTGGTGACGTGAAAGGGAAAACTTCTAAAAATCAATAGACTGAAAAAATGCTTACCTAGCTGAAATAGAAACCAGAGGAAACCAACAGTTTAGGAGAAGGTTGTTATCAAATATGCATATCAGATTTTTTGCTGGTCAGTATGATGTAGTATGCTAGCCCTCATCTCGGTTTTCTCCTTTTAAAATAGTCACCTGTGAGGTTCATCTGAATCAAGGCCCATTTATTCTGGTTTTGGTGCATTTTGTTCTTGAGAAACAAAAGATAATTTTAGTGATATTTGAGGCATGACAACATTTTTTAAATCTGGGAAAGATAGGGATCCCTGGGTGGCGCAGCGGTTTGGCGCCTGCCTTTGGCCCAGGGCGCGATCCTGGAGACCCAGGATCGAATTCCACGTCGGGCTCCCGGTGCATGGAGCCTGCTTCTCCCTCTGCCTGTGTCTCTGCGTCTCTCTCTCTCTCTGTGTGTGACTATCATAAATAAATAAAATAAAAAAAAAATCTGGGAAAGATAATGTTACATGTTGAGATATTTACTGAAAATGAGTCTCTCTTTGAACTCTTGACTTTTGGAAATTGTATTTCTGCACAGTTTATTCAGCAATACTCATCAGTTCAACAAAAATGTGTTGTGTACCTACTTCGTGCCAGGCACATGCTGGAGATCTGCTGATCCACTAGACAAGCTCCTGCTTTCATTGAGCTTTTGTTCTATGGGGTTCTGAGGTCTTCCATTTCCCAAGGGGTAGACAAGTCAGTCAGAGTCTTTACCTGTCATAACACAGATGGTTTTGAAGTTCCTTTTGTGGCTTGGATTATTGAGCCTCAGCTTTTTAATCAGTAGCCTTTTTTTATAGAGTCTTTTATTTTTTTAAGATTTTATTTATTCATGAGAGACAGAGAGAGAGAGAGGCAGAGACACAGGCGGAGGGAGAAGCAGGCTCCCTGAGAGGAGCCGGATATGGGAGTTGATCCCAGTCCCCGCCGGATCATACCCTGAGCTGCCGAAAGCAGACACTCAACCACTGAGCCACCCATGTGCCCCTAGAGTCTTTTAAACTCTATTCATACATCATCAGAATACCTATTCGAATGTGATGCCAAATTAGCAGACCTCATTGCCTTCAGAGCCTGACATTTTAAGGCAGCCCAGTGCTCAGTATCAGGATCTATCTGGGCGTCCTTTTGGGGTACTATTTGGAAGTTTCTTTAGAATTCCAAATTATAGTGGACACTTAAAAAATTATTTGAAGATATTTGCATAGGCAAATACCGACCCTACAATAGTTAACTTACAGCATTTCCTCATTAAAAAGTATATATTTATTTATTCATGAGAGACACACAGAGAGAGAGAGAGAGAGAGAGAGAGAGAGAGAGAGAGAGAGGC